CCCTCTCTCTCTCACACACACACACACACACACACACCTCAGTGTACTGTCCCCTCCCCAGCTGTCTGTGTACCCTGACATTCAGTCTCCTGATAAAGACACATCCACAGTTCTCCCAAAATGGACACTTCCTCCTCACCCCTTCAGCGACCAGGTCCGCCTCACTAGCTCCTCAGTGCTGCCACCTGCTGTTTCACACTCACAGCACATGCATATTCCATTCAGCGGGAAGCTGCATGAGGTCGCGATGTACATGCCGGTGTAACGTCGGCCCAGAGGAGCCCAAAAAAAATCACACAGAGGGCCAAAAGCCCGTCCATCTGCATGGACAAAATATGGCAAGGATGAAGGGTCAAGCTACGCAGCCCATAACTGTACCGTAGAACATTCCGGCATCGTGAGGTGAAGGCTGAAGAGACAAACACAGGGATCCACACAGTAAGACCATGACACTGTGGGGAGCTGCCTGTCAAAGACACAGAGGGAGGACAGCTGCCTGATGCCTGATCCCCCACAGATGCCTCCTCGGTGCACATCCTACCAACTGTCAGCACTTGGGTGAGAAGAAAGACCTCATCCGTCTCAGACTTCAGATGCGAGGAGCAGCAAGCGTGTAGTGAATGTGGGAGAAGGTTCTGCAGGAGATGCCTGCAACCCAGCAAGCTTCCGACTGCTAAACCACAGGGCGGAAACCACAGGGGCCGCTTCACCCCACCCATCCAGGCTGCAGAAATCTGCAGGAGACACCCTTAACCTGCTTGGGGGTGCAGCCATGGGGCGGCAGCGTGCTCAGCCTCTCAAACACAGATTCCCGCAGACAGACGGGATGGTGCCTTACACGCTGAGGTGCCCTCCGAGACTCGGCCACCATTTCTGCACCTCCAGGGCATCAGAGACGACGCTAACATTAAATGCGAACTGCCCGGCCCTCCGCCGAGGATCAGGAAACAGAAGGGGAAGCACAGCTTCAGGAATGAGCCTCCGCACGATGGCCGAGACCCAGTGAGCACTGCCAGGACCTGGGGAGAGGGCACCAACCTCCCCCCCCCCCCCTTCAAATGAATCAGATGTTTGAAAAAGTGCCTACTCACATGCATAAAAATCAGAATTAAGGCCCATAACCGTCCAGGTGTATTTTACCGCCATCAAAGCCAACACTGGCAGTACTCCAGTGAGGGCGGGGTGGAAGGAGCAGCTACAAAATGCTAATTTTGGGGGAATATAAAAATGTGAAAAGGGCAGAGGGAATGTGGATGAAAACCACAAATACTGTTTGTCTTTTGTGTTTTATTTCCTTATACTGATGCTGTCACAGTCTTGCAGACAGTACACTAGCATTTCACTGCACACACTGTATGACTGTATGTGACAAATAAAACTTGATTTGACCAAAGAAGCAAGTGCTTGTTTTAACTTCCAAGAAAACCTAAACCACCTACTAAATTCATGCGAAAGGAAGACCAGCTGGTCACGTGATGCTTGACGTTGTGAAGCTGGTGAGCGGTATCCCCTCCGGAGAGTTACGCCAATATAAAAGCCTTTCATCAGCCATTTAGCACCGGCTCTTTGTTCCATAACTGCAAACAGCCACTAAGCCATTAGCGCCCCACCAAACCGCCTATGGTTAAGAACAATGACCCATTTTCCCCTTTGCAACAAACCTTCACAGAAGATCTGAGCATTTTGGAAAAAGAGAAACCAGATCAATCTTGTCTCATCTTTCTGGGGGAACAACAACAACAACGACTCTCTACACACAGGATGTACTCTGCCAACGTAAATCATCTCCCGCTAAGTAAGCAGATGCCGCCAACATCCGGAAGGATCACAGAAAGCCGCGTCTGGGCTCTGGTCCAGCACAGTTTCTTATGACAAAACGAGAAGGTGCAGTACAGAACTGGAGAGGAGGGAGTTACAGCAACTTCAGTCCAAAAGAAGTTATAAGCCGACTGAACCAGTGCTAAAAACGGCCATCGTGGGTGTGCAGGGTGCAGCTTCCTGCTGCCTTGAGACCTAGAAGGAGAGTCGAAGCCGCTCAGGACTGGGGGAAACCCACGACACGCTGCAAAAGCACAGGAAACACTGGGGAAACTCCTCAGGCGCCTGGAAAAGGAAGAGGGCCCTCTAGTGGGCCCAAAGGGCAGCTGCCCTCCCTCCTGATGGACAGAAAGAAACAGCAACCTGTGCATTAGGCGGTAATCAGATTTTCAGCTGGTACTGGGCATCTCCAGGCTAAATCTACTCCACTAAGCAATCAGACAGCAGTCTGACCTGCTTATATTCCTAAGCACTGCTGAGAAATCCTGGCATTTATTTACGGATCTTAAAAGTTAGAGGTGTTCGCATACTGAGAGAGAAGCTTTAATCCCAGGTCAGAAAATATGCAACTACCAACTACCAACAAATCCAGAGAGCCATATGAGCCAAGGAACGACAACTCTGTACAGAGGACGAGAGACAAACGCTAACTTCACACTAATACATTAAAAAAAAAAGAGACTGGACTTTCCGAAAGAAAAGCCCTGTGTCCACACTAACCTCATCACTAGTATCATTTGCACGTTTTTTTTTCCCTCAATGAAATTTTTTTATAATTGTAAAACTGGCAAAATATATATTTTGACTTTGATGAGTAATAAAGTTCTGTTTTTATAAACGTTTGAATTAATCTCACACACAACCATGTGTTTAAAGTAAACGCACGTATCTTATTTAGTAAAGTGAAATATCACCAGGGGGGGGGGGGTTGGCTCACACCTCTAGGACCAGGGTTCGAGTCTTCGCCATGACTCCATGTGTGGCGTTTGCATGTTCTCCCCATGTCATCGTGGGGTTTCCTCCAGATACTCCGGCTTCCCTCCACAAAATAAGCTGAGGCTAATTGGAGTTACCAAATTGCCCATAGGTGTGTGAGTGTGTGTGTGTGTGTGTGTGTGTGTGCGCCCTGTGATGGGTTGCCCCCCCCCATCCTGGGGTGTTCCCTGCCTTGCACCCATAGGCTCTGGACCCCCCCACAACCCTGAACAGGATAAGCAGTTTTAGACAATGCATGTATGGATGGATGGAAATATCACAGTACTGTAGTGTCACAAACACAAAGCTGTACATAAAAAAAAACCATCACAGCAGCAACACAGGGGCCCAGAAATGTAGTCAGTACACGTCTCACTCTGTCCCCTCAGTTTCAGAGCTAATGATTCAATGGCTGGATGTCTATCATCAGCTAGAGCTTTACTTAACCATAGTTCACACACAGTATCTTTCGGAGCTCCACAATAGTTGTGAACAGCATACCATGTACACAAAACACGATTTAGCTGCACACAAGTAAACAAAACAACATTTGCCAGGTAGCGAGAATACCGTACACCCTCCATGTTCACGTGGCTTACTTTTGTGAAAACAAAGGCAAAGCATTGTTGATTACTGTAAAGAGTACCCAATCAGGAGAAAACTAAGAGAGCCAATCAGGAAATGGTCACGAGCTAAGTACGAACCAATCAGAGCTCACAGGTGTAGGCTTAACAAGATTTTCACACTTATGAGCATCCGCACTAATGTATTTACAGAAACATTAGTTGTCAGAGAGTGGTAAAATTTTTCTCCGCTTCGGGGAAAGAAGTGTCCATTGTAGTGTGGATAGAAGCCTAAATCAGAAGATTTTTTTTTGTGTGTGTTACTAACGAAAACGCATTAGTGCAGATGGGCTCTAAGACTGACAGAGACGCCTGCTGACAGCCAGCGGCACCCAGGACAGAGAGGCAGCAGATCAAAGGCTGCCAGCCCGATCACAACCAGGAACCTGAGCAATGCCACCAGGGTCATTTCTCTGAGAGACAGCACAACCTTTCGATGCAATCTGAAATAAGCATCTTATACTTCAGAAAACGGCATTAAACACATGCACACACAATACTGTCAATGTTACTGCATGTGACATGAAAACAGACACAGCTTTCCAAAAGTCTGATTTCTCAGAAAGCTAACATGTCGCTGGGTTTACCCAAATATTTACAGACATGCAGTCGCGGGGGGGTGGGGGGGGTTGGGGGTCAGGCCAGCTGTAAGTCCTAAGCAAAAAAAAAAAAAAAAAGTGTTGACGGCAGCTATTGCGGAACAAAGAGACAGGATACACACGGCTGCAGTTGCAGATATGACTTCCTGCACACATCTACCAGGTATTCACACAGCACACTGGGTACTGGCACTGACATCATCCCCAGTTCAGCTGCGCGTCACTGGAGTGATGGATGCCAAGAATTGTGTTTAAGGTAGTGGCGGCAGAGACTTTAACTGGCAACCTTCAGAACAGGGAGGGGGGAAAGCAGCAAGGGGCTTCCTGTTCCACCACACCATTCCCAAATACTTTAAGCGTGAGTTTGCAGAATTTATGGAAATTTAGTCTGGAGTGAATGAATTTCCAGGTACCATCAGACGGACTATTACCGCCCCCATCTGGCAACATTGAGCATTAGCACGCACGGCTCCCTTCGATTTCACAAACAAGGTCAACGTGTAATATTTTCTTTCAGACACTTAGCAGAACCAACTGAGCGGTACATTCAGCAAATGACTGAAAAGTGACTATTATTGGACTGCAAACCAAACTTGTGTTGCAAATGCAGAACTTGCACTTTTGATACATTTTATTTTTTTTTTAACCAGAGTTAACTTCCACTTTGTCGTTTATCAGGTGCCTTTTACCCACCTGCCGCTGCTATTTTTGTCACCATCTCGCGCGCTCTCACACCCCCACACGCAGGGACGCGCCCTGGATGCCACGTTATTTTCGTGGTAGAAACAGGCCCAGCTGCGGGTGAAGGCAACTCTGTAGGTCGCGGGCCGGCATGCCAGGGAGAGCGGCCATGACCTCCGCCAGCGAGCGCACACCCTGTCCGTGACACTGCCCCGGGAGGCGGTTCGCAGCTGCAGGCCGCAGAGGCGGACGGATGGACAGACTGACGGACGGACAGAGACGCACGGGTGACGGGGCGCGAGCTCGGCATCCTACTCACGCGTCTTCTGGCCCCACATGTGCAGGTGCAGCTTCCCGGCTGAGTAATAGATGAAGCCCAAGACCAGCATGGGACACAAGACAAAGAGCAGCTTGCGTGTGGGTTTCATCATACTCATTTCTCACATAGTCGCTTCAGCTCCACATCACCTGCGGAGGAGACGGTGGGGTTAATGAGCGCGCCGGCCCCGGGTGCCACGTTCTGGGGCAGATGTGGGTTAGGGGCGCCGGGAGGAGCCGACTGGACACGTGACCGGACGGCTTGTCGATCTGTAACCAGTTTAAATATTGTATTGGCGTAAGATGGGCATTTCACAGTGTCGGTGTGAGACTGTAAATCCCACCAAAGCGTCATTTACTGCAGCCCGGGAGGCAAGAAGCCGCGGCCGCTTCTAAGTTTGGCGGCGTAACACAACGCACGAATAAAACACCAGAAAATGCCCAGAAATAACTTATCATGAATATAATTAAACAGAAACGCATTCCAGTTAAATCTTCCGCCAAATCTACACATTACCGTTGGCTGGGGTTTTTTACCACAAGCCAAGCACGGGTGAATCAGCGACATTGTTACAACTTTCCCATGTAATCCTACCGATATTGATGCAACATATTAGAAATGAGAACTTTTAATAAAATAACAGCTTACCACAATAGGACGATTCAGCTGAAATCTTCCGAATTTTTCCAATAAAAAGCTTTTATTTCGGGGCTTCAGGCGCCGCATAATAGCGGAGACACGCGGAAAGCTCCGTAAGAACCTGACCAGGCTGTGGACAGACGGTACCGTCACCGGGAGAAGATAACGAGGGAGCCGAGGGGACTCGAGTCACGGCGGCACTACAATGTATCCGCCGGGACCGCGAAAGGCGCCCGCGACGGCAACAAAGTGTACCAGACGGGCTGAGGCTGATTCCCGAAAGACGCCACCTTCGGCGGATAAATCATTAACGGAAACGGCCCGTTACACGCTCCGGACTCATGAACGCGCCTTTGTGGGGGGAAATCGGCTCGGTTCTGGCTAAATAAAAACAGGGGGGAGGGAATCGGTATCGGGCGGCAAGAAAAGGCCAGGGCCAGTTCCGGGCCTAATACCGAGCGATCGGCTTCTCACAAAGCGGGCTGAAAGCAGCCCCAGCCCGGCCTTACTGTCGCTCCAAGGCGCTCCTCGTCTATCGGCCGTAACTATGCGGAGTCGCAGTCCGGCATGACTCCCCGAAGCGGCTCCCGGCTGGGTGTTTAGCTGCGGTGTTGAAGGGCGCCCGGCAGCCGGCGCGTCTATGCCTTTTTATAGCACCTTCTCCCCCTTGCACACTTCGACTGCTCTCCCAGCCCGTTAGGCCGGCGACGGCTGGCAGAGAGGTTTCATGTCTCATCGGCTAGGCTCCGGTCCGCGAAGCGTCTCTCGGAAGCTCTGTGCTAGACTGCAAGATACGCCGGCATCAAAGCTCATCGTGGCCGGCGCGGCTGCGCTCCAGTCCGGCCGCCCCCAGCCCCCAGCCCCCAGCCCCCAGAGCGCCAATAGCACGGTGCCGAGCTCAGCGGGACACACAGCCGCGTCTCGTAGCCCCGATCGAGGATCTCTCTGCGACAGTCACTTGCTGCGACTTTTCCTGCGTCGCCTCTTCACTTGGTTTCCAGCTTACAGCGTGGAGCCGCTGCAGAGCTCCGGCTGGCCCTCCCTCCCTCCGTCTGTTACACACACAGGCGCACGGAGGCACAAAGCGCCGCTCTTTCAAATTCCGAAAGTCCGAAGTTTATTCCAGCGTTCATATCCACAACATGAAGGTCCTTTGAACATGCATGACTGCCGAGCTGTTAGCGGAGAGCGTGCATTCAGGACTGTGAACAGAGTTCCTCATTAATTCCCAGAACGGCTGGACTGAGACAGTATCGGTCCTTCAGTCTGCAGGACGAAACCACAACACAGTCCTAATTCTTCAAACGTACATGGGTTGTAAATCACATTAATATTTAAGGTGAATGTAGTTATTACTGCCATGGAGAGCAACAGTATTGTGGTCATATTCCAGCAATAGTGTCCCCGGTACCATAACTGCGGCATCCATACATTAATGTTAAATTATGAAATTGTATTTTATTAGTCTTGCATACGGTGAAGATGACTTGTTTTATTGTTGTATTATATCGGCTTGCTCCCGTTCGAAATGGAGACTCCGGTAATTGTGCAATAACAGGCTACATAAAAACGAACAAAATTACTTACTATTTTGCTCTAATAGTCATATTTTACAAAATGTATGGTTTAATGGTTGCAGAAATGCTTGAACATTTTAGCAGAGATCACCTTCGCACATAAAAGTTTTGTACTGTGGTGACTTGTTTGCAAAATGATCTGTTTGCATGTCAAGAATGTGCCTCAAACATTGACAGAAAAGTCAAATGCACGCGGGCCTGCAGACCGCTTGTTGCACGCGGACCTGGAGACCGCTGAATGCACCAGATATATTGTGAGAATCAGAAATCAGATATTTTCCCTTAAAGTAAAAGAGGTATAAATCAATAAAACCAAAACTAAGTAAGACTAGTCTGGACTTGTGCTGTTTTTTGGAAGGTTTTCTGGTCAGTTATACCTATAACAGGCTGTGCTTGATCTGTGCCCCGTGGGCAATGTGGAAGGAACAGACCCCATGTGTGTCTGGGTTGGGCATCGCTGGAGGCGAGACAGGCCGCTCTCAGAAAGGCTCGGTCCAATCGCACGCTACCGCCTGGCACACACTCCCTGGCAAAAAGCAGACAGTCAGTACACTCTGCTGTGATCTGTCCTTACACTCTCTCTAAAGCTGCTGTCTCAAATTTCTCCATATAATTACTGGAAGGTGATTATGTTCGTCCTGCGCTCTCTTTCATAAAGAGGACGGCTCTGGGAGTTCATTCCATCTCCATCTTAGTCACATAGGAGATTCTAAGGTGTCCAGGGTTTTCTACATGTCGCAGGGTTTATACGCTGATTTGTTTTTGGTGACATTTCCCCAGCCCCTGCATGCCCCCTGTGACCGTGACTTCTTATTTCCTGTTTGTGGCAGGATGTCCTGCTTGCTCGGCTCCGCAGAGTACAATGGCTCCTGTACTTCCCCAAACGTGGAACATTAATGTACCCCCAATGGTACAAAAGTGTTCCTCAGAGTCCATTTCTGTACCTTAAAAGGTACATTTACCTACAGCTAGGGTACAATTGGCAAACCCTTGAGGGTACAGCCCCAGTGACAGGCAATTGTATCCCAGAAGGTACAAATTGGTACTTTTTTTCTGATAGTGTATGCAGACGAACAGGACCCTGCCGCACATCAGCTCCGCTCAGACCGGGGGGCGGGGGGGCTTGCCTCACTCCTCTCTCAGTCCCAGGGGCAGCCATAACCACCCCTGCTACCATGAAACGAAAATAGTAAGAACGAAATATGGACCATATTTAAGCAGGATCGCAGAAGCTCTTTCCTATGATCTATAGCTGATCCACATAACTGGGGTCATAAGCAAACACTCTGAATTAATAATAATAATAATAATAATAATAATAATAATAACCCAAACACAGAACACAAAATAAGACAAAGTGATACAAATAGATATACAATAAAATTTCATAAAATAGATTTGAGTAGCTATGTGTTTGAGTATCCTAGAGAAGTTACTAGAAATCAAATATTCTGGCCTTATGAGGCATATCTACACCTGCTTTTGAAAAGGAAAATGAAATTAAGTCAGGCACGAGGTGAGCTGTTACACTGCACAGCTAATACAATGGGGGTAACATACAGTAGTAGTACTGACACAGTACTGTCAGCAGCCAGAACCAGAGGTGAGATTTTCTGTTAATATTCTGCCTGATCTGGAAATACATAATCAGAGAAAGAGCTTGCTGGGACCTCTTAGTGCATTCCAGGGCAGCTTAGCCACACGTGGTCAGGCTGTGTCAGTAAAGCTCTTCCCTCTACTTTGAATTTTTCTCCTTTTAATTCTGCCGATTTTAGGTACTTACCTATTCACATTAGGGGGATTCCGTGAGTGGCAGCCCTGCGTTTAGGTGTTGGGCCAGGCAGACATTTGTTTATGCAGACAGTAAGCGTAGCAGATACGCTAAGAAGCCGCCCGGGATCAGCGCCGCTGCCTCTAACCGCCGTGCGGGCGGCTCACATGGCCCGTGGGTCCGGAACGTGGGGTCACCGTCTGGCGCGTTTTCCCGATGCCCCTCTGTGGAGTTTCAGCTTCCTTCTGGCTTCATTGGATATGGCGTCACACAGCAGAGCAACACGAGCCGAAAGCTGTCAAACTGGGGCGGCGTTAGTGACACCCAGTGAACCCCCGCCCTTGTGGGCCCCCGCCTTTGTGGGCCCCCGCCCTTGAGTTCTAGCTCCCGGGATATATGGAGGAGGCGGTTGTGCTTGGCCTGAGAATCGGCCGTCTTCTTCATTCCAGGACCCGAAGGTGATAAGGAGCTGACACACAAAACACCAGCCTGGAGAAACGCCCTGTGCCTGAAGCCCAACTACTAACGCGGGCTCCCTCCCACAATCCCATGGGCCCTCTCTCTGGAGAGCCTACAGACAGAGCAGGAGGACTGCAAGCCTTTTGGCGAGGTCTGCAGGATGTGTTGATCTTACCTTTCAGCTGAGATGGTAGATAAACCACGATCTTCTGCATCTCCGCCTTCCGTGGTGGTCGGTCTCGATTCCTTTATGGAAAAAGAAGAAACGACCATTAGTTTCTCACTGTGCTGTTATTCAGTGTCTTGCTTTTTTGTCTCTCAGGATGTGGCTTCACCTCTCATGTAAGCTATGTATTACCTGCTCATTCTGCTCAGCTCTCTTACACGGCAGCTGTAACACTCTGGGCTTCACTTTCTCTAGACCCCCGAAAGAGCCCCAATTTCCCACAAAGAGGCCCCTGTGTGGATGACACAGGCCAAAGGCTAACTGAATTCCTGTCAGTTGCACTGCAGAAATGTGTGCAGGCCAGAAATACGCGAGAGATTGCTTAGGGAGACACAGATGACTCAAACAGCTCGGAATAGCAACACGTTCCACAGTTTCAGCTAAAAACAACACCCCAAAGGAAAGCGTCTCCTGTTTCCTTTTTCCTGCAGGAGATGTGTGGTTTCCTGTCTACAACTTATTGTACAGCGATTCGTGAGTTAATTTTTTTTGGGCAAGTCAGTCTTGTGACCATCTGCAGTGCCAGAGCATGAAGTCCCAGAAGAGCAATGTCACATGGTGCATCAGGTGATGTGTCACATGATGCAGCTCAGCTCTCACCTCCCCCCCTCCCCCCCCTCCCCGACACACATGATACACATGACCAGCTCCTGGCCATCATTCATGGTTAGTTGGGGCACGGCTGGCAGGGAAGCTCCGTCCCATCAGCCTGTAACTCAATCCTCAGCACATCCCCCCCGCCCCCCACCCGACATTTCCAGAAATGTGATGTGTAACGTGGTTCGGTCTCTGTGGACGGGCCTTGGCTGACCGGGATGATAGCCCTGAAGAAACATGAGAGAGAGAGCTAACAAGCAGTAAATTAAATCATGTAATGTTACTCCTGCTTAGGGCGGGATGTGACAGTGCGTGGTGACCGAGCGGGTCGGAGAATCTGTTTGGGCCGAACTTCTACCCTTCTCCACCGCGCTTACCGTCATTGATTCCCTCTCCTGATTAATGCATATGTGCACAAAATCAATTAACCAACACGTAACGGGAACACGCTGCGCTGGTTCTTTCTGGCAGTGGCCGTAGTTCAGCCATGGGCCTGCAGGAGAGCCCCAGACCCGCTCTGAGTGACCCAGCCCAGGTGTGTGCCCCCAGTGTAAGGGCGTCCCTCGGGACCGGCTCAGGCTGGGCTGCGGATGGATGGTTAGCCAGCCTCGGGTTAAACCTCGCTGACGTGGAGGGTGTGTGCACTACTCCGGCAGCCTGCAGATGGCATCAGTAAGGCTGTGTCTAAAGAAAAAAGTGGGTTGGCTTTGCAGCTCTGATATCTGCATGCTTTTTTAAGCAGGAAATGGAGCACAGAGCTTTGCAGTCACACTCCCGTGTTTCTCGAAATGACTGTGGTGTCCCAGCAGTCACATGGTGCGTACTCACACCCCCTATGTCTCCTGACCGCCCCGTGATGCCTCCATGAAGGCAGCGCACTGCTAAGAGGCCTAAGAGATTAAGGGGGGGGGGGGGGGCTGCCGGAAGCCCCACGCGGTGGAGGGGGCCTTTACCGTGAGAGAAAGTCAAGTGAGAGTTTCTGTATCGGTCGAGAAATTCTTGCGAGGCGTCACATTGCCAGACCCGTGCTTTCCCACGATGCCCATGGTGTTATCAGCTCACAGACACCGACAAGCCACACGCCCCGTCCCAGTCACACACATATGTGAGAGGGCACATATATCACAGAGCACCTTCGCATTGCCAGGTTAACCCAAGTTAAGGTCACCCATCACCCATAACCAGCATGGCAACACCTGGAAGATTATGCATCAAACAAAAACACGGAGCAGAGACTCAGCTTCATCTGTGGAAAGAAACCTCGAACTAGCGACTAGCACTGGACGAGTGTAGCTCAGCTAGAAGATCTACACAGATGTATGACGTCCCATCTGGGCTCGAGCCTGCCAGCTGACTCCGTCTAAATCTCAGGCAGTGATACCCAAGCACAAAATAACACGCCACTATCATTTTAAATTCCTGCATTAATCCTTCTTCCATGTTTTCCAATGCTGTTTCTTAGGGCACCCTCCACAGGCTGGGAATCAAACACATCATTCACCACTCAGCCAGCCAGCCAGCCAATGGCAGTGCAGGGCTTGGATTCCACATGTTCCGGTTTGGAAAGGCCACTGGTGGAACAGCAGTGGTGGTAATTCGACCGCGGACTCATGGAAAATTTCCACAGCGTTGAGGCTCGCTAAGAGGTAAGGCTGCGTTCGTAGTTCACCACGTCTGAAGTAAAATAGGAAGTGAAAATAAAAGTGTGGCTTTCAGGGTGTTCAAGTCTTACTACTGAAGAAGCAGGACTGATCAGATTATTAGGACTAAAACAATAAAAACTGAATGTGATTCTCTGCATGTTTATATAAGAAACAAGGGCATAAAAAGCCCCAAAGCTCATTTTTAAACCCTGGAACTTTGCTTCTAAGGCCTTGAAACTGGGTTAGAGGGATCAGTGCAGGTGATGTGTTTCCCAGCTGTGACCCCAGAACTCTTTCATAGGTGCTTCATCTGCTTTAAAAAGCCAACCATCCATCCATCCATCCATCCATCCATCAGGAAGGGATTATCCCAGTCAGGACTTTGGGCTGACTAAAACTAGGGTTCTTTTAAAAACCCACCAAACCAAGAAACACAATAATCTCTGAGGAAAATCTGTATGATTAATGGGTGCCAGAAAAGGCCATTAAAGTCAGGGATCTGCTGGGCCTGAGGGTCTCAAGTCCTATTTCAGATCAGCATGATGGTTCCCTGGGGCACAGTGGCCCCCCAACCTGCAGCCAGGCTACTGTCAGCCAGTGCTTGTCCCAGATTCCTCTGTGT